TTCCTCTATATAGTAGTCAGGACAAAGACTTATAGAACACCCCTCCTTCCTTCATAGTCAGGACAAAGACTTATAGAACACTCCTCCTTCCTTCATAGTCAGGGTAAAGACTTACAGAACGCCTCCCTTTCCTCTATAGTAGTCAGGACAAAGACTAGAACACCCCTCCTTCCTTCATAGTCAGGACAAAGACTTATAGAACACTCCTCCTTCCTTCATAGTCAGGGTAAAGACTTACAGAACGCCTCCCTTTCCTCTATAGTAGTCAGGACAAAGACTAGAACACCCCTCCTTCCTTCATAGTCAGGACAAAGACTTATAGAACGCCCCCCCCCCCCTTCCTTCATAGTCAGGACAAAGATTTATAGAACTATCCTCGTTCCTTCCTATTACAGTCAGGGTAAAGATTTAAAGAACGCAAAAGCTCGGGTTAGGTGTGTAGTGTGTCTTGTTTGGTGACAACACGTGTAAGGTGTGTAGTGTGTTATGTTTGGTGACAACACGTGTAAGGTGTGTAGTATGTTATGTTTGGTGACAACACGTGTTAGGTGTGTAGTGTGTTATGTTTGGTGCCAGCAGTGGGAGCTTCGCAATAATGAATTTGAAGAAACCGACATTCTCCTGTCCATTGGGAAGGTCACATTGAAGGTCACCTTGAAGGTTTGCTCTTTGAGCTCAACGCCTTTCATGTCCATTAAAACACACACATTTCTGGGTGAATTTTACCGCAACACGTTGACCAAAGGTTGGCTACATAATATGGTCACTTTTAAGCACAAAGGGGCTATCCCAATAAATGGTGTTTTTAGAAAATCGAAGGTAAAGTTTTTGCGCCTTGTTCAGTTTCTTTAAAAGACCAGGAGAGTTTTCTCTATAATCCAACAAATATACACACCAATGAAACCAAACTTCTCATATAGGTAGGGCAATGCTCACTTTTGGTGTAGGTCAAGACTTCTGGAAATCCTTGAAATCTGGGTTAGCTCGCTTGTCCTTAAAAACGACCATATATTATACACATGTTTATGTAAATGTCCCCAAGGACACTCAAACTTCAGCCGTCATTTTCTCGCTAATTTTACAAATGACGCCAAGTGATCCCACCTCCTTCAAAACCAAATATCTCGACTTCTTTTCAAGATAGATGGTAATTTTTTTAAATTAAAAAAATACAAGACAAAATGAACAAGCTTTAAGATGATACAGATAACTCCATATTATATAGTGGCCCCCAAAATAAAATTGAAAATTTAATTACCCAATCATCGTGTTATAAGTTATAGGCATGCATTACCCGCTCATGCAGCATACCGCACACACCAATTTAAAGCTTAATAAATTCTGCATTATCTTACATATTATTATTAATATTTTATCAACGTTAAAAAACTCTCGAGATATAGTCACTCAAAGTTGATTTTGAAAAGCCAGGCTTGGCTAAATTGGGCGAAATCAGAGAAACGTGAAATAGTCTTCTTGCGTTTAATGAGATGCATCGACATTTGTAGAATGGACCTGTATTGAATAATAATATATCAAATGAAGAGAGAATGTTAATGCCTCTTCAATGAACAGCGTCTTCTGGGGATATTTTCAAACAGATTGAAAAATGGAGCAGTTACAAATACCTCACAAAACTCGGACTTGACAGAGTTACATATTTGTGTTCATTAGTTTAAACTGAGTTTTTGTTCACGAGCTGTTGGCTTCTTCTCGAGCATGAAACCTCTTTTGCACATGGACCGTGTTAGATTTTGGACATAATCTTCTGTCAGTGAGAAACAAAGGCCAAAAAACTGCCATGGTTTTGGGTGGCCTGGGGTGGAATGAACAAAGCCGCCCGCGTGAGAATCACCGGATGCCTTGGTTTAGTGGACTGCATCGCGCAAGTGCTGGAACGTCATGTCTTACCCTTATTTTCGTCATGGTGTCATTCGAGTAGACATCTCCATGCATAGCAAGGCATTTTCTCACAGGGCAATGCCACTAGACAATTCTAGGGGGAAAAAATCAGATCATCGTTGGAGTAGTCACCAATAAATAGCCCTGATATGAATCCTACAGGTACCGTATGTGAAGTCCCATGAAACAGCAATAACTGAAGAAAAGCGACTTTGCCCCCAATTCAGACCCTTTGTTTGCAACTGTGTGGGACATTTGCAATGAAATGACAGACAATTATGTCCAAAGTTTAAAAGACTCGACGCGCAAAGGGTTCGTGCCCAAAACAAAGCAAATGTCTCTTAGACAAAATAACAATGAACACAATTAGTGTTAAGTCCAAGTTTTGTGTGGCATTTGCGATTGCTCTGTTTTCCGTTATGTTTGAAACTATCGTGACAAAATATAGTAATTAAATATTGTTTATTGCAAAGACAAATTCTCCATTCATTAGACATGCAATATATCGCCATTCTATCAATATTGATTCTCTTCAACAAATGCGCAAAGACAATTTTGCGTTTCTTTGATTTCGCACAATTTTGCCGAGCCTGATTTATGAAGGTCAACTTTGAGTGACCGTATCTCCGGCGTCTCTTAAAATAAATGAATTATTAAAGTGTCAGATGACGAAGAATTTATTTAGCTTTAAAGTGGTATGCTGCATGAAAGGGTAGTGCTAGGCTTTGTTTTTGTTTCTGGTTAAGTGTTTTACGGCGCTCGCAACTGCATAAGGTCATATGGGCGCGCGGGACACACCTAATATTTTCAGTTGGTAGGAACTTTTGAATTTTGCCCAGGTGGCGGCCGAAGCCTACTCTTATCGATTTTAGACCACCAAGGGACCTTTAACGTGCGCAACTTGCACACGAGCCCTCCGAGATTTTTCGCCCTTGTCTGAGAAGGCTAGGTGTAGATCTTTCCTACCAGAAGATCAGGGGTGTTGCAGAAAGACAGCAGTAAGAAGAAGCGAATGAGTAGCAGTAGAAAGGCTGCAAAAAGAATCAGGAGCCCAGAGGAAGTGGCAAAGAAGGTGAGGGGATGGGGGCAGAAGGAGGAGACGAAAGCAGACGACAGAACATTGCTAGAGAGCAGGAAATGAGGTGAAAGGAGACAAATTTAGAGATGAATTTTTTTCTGTCGCTACCCGGATTCGAATCCGGGACCTTTTGAATGAGAGGCCAACACCTTAACCTCTAGGCCACGAGAGCCCCCTGCTCGGCTTCAACACGATGATTGAGTGATTACATGGTCAAGTTTCTTTTGTACGCCGTTGCAAAAGCTGACGAGCGATTCATTCCACCGCGTCGTAGAACTTCATGCAATGTAGAAGAGAGGATGTCCGTATTTGCACGACGGTTAATAATACATGTAGTGAGAGGGTGGTTAGCGGGTGGGTGATCTGGTGTGGTTTGCTCATTCTTCCCACCAAACATCTATCGTCCTTATTTTTTTCTTTCAAACATTTATCGTCCCTATCCCTCCTCTTTCTTTACTTTGTATGCCACTCTAGTAACACCTCTAATCTGAGGCACTTATAATATGGCTTAACTGGATTGCAAGTGCGGTAAAACTCTCGAATAAAACTAAACTAGCCAAACTAAACCTGATATAGTGACCAAATCCGCCCATTTACATCGGACTTTCAATTATCGACCCACAGTAAACGACGTATTTCCAAGAAAGCCAGAACAGACAGAGATACAGAAGTTTTATTCGTACTAACTGCTGTGAGCTTACAGAACGCACAGTGCTACAAACGAAACAGACAAATAGTCACGTACACATACATACACACACAAACATACATGCACACACACACACACACACACACACACACACACACACACACACACACACACACACTGACCCACACATTTCCTACCACACAGACATACAGAAATCTGACATTCAAACACGAAGATCAAAATCATTCATTTCTTCTTGTCAGGGACAACAGTATTTAATGAAAATCTTTTAAAGTTGAAGCAGATATATTATATAGGCAGGTATATTATATAGTGATGAACTCATGAGTAGACAGGTATAATTATATATAAACTACGCCTGTATACATAAGTATTTTATATTATGATGAAAGCCTGTATAGACAGGAATAATATATAATGAACGCGTCTATAGACAGGTATATTGCACAGTGAACGCCTGCATAGACAGGTATATTATATAATGATCGCCTGCATAGACAGGTATATTATATAATGAATGCCTGCAGAGACAGGTATATTATATAATGAATGCCTGCAGAGACAGGTATATTATATAATGAACGCCTGCATAGACAGGTATATTATATAATGAACACATGTTTAAACTCAGTAAGAGAGAGGGTTTGGAACAGTATTTTTGAACAAACACCTCCTACCACTGTATGTAAGGCTATATCTTTCTCCCACGACATGTGTACAGAAGCCCAGGACTTGACCCCGGGCCATCAACACCGCTGTCTATCGTGGACCCAACTAGGCTATCGTGACGTCACGCCACAGAAAAATCATCTGTACCATGTGATCTCACGACACGGTCGTACCACGTAACTCTTTGACTTCACGACACGATCGTACCACGTAGCCACGTGACAGGGTGACACCATTCGTCCAGCTCTCCTAGCCTTGCCACGGAGACAGTTCCTACACAAGGTCCCTTGACGTGCCACTTTTCCCACACAGAAAATGGAAACAAACTAAGAAAAATAAAGCATTGCCATGTAATAACATGTAAGTAAGAGCAGCTATCGGCATTGAGTCCTGCTTGCGTTACAGAGAAAGACAGAATACAATGGAATGGCCACCTGTTACGTATGTCACCGGGATAGTCAGCCTCGAGAGCCTACAACACCAAGCACTTAGGCTATTATAAAGGAAGAGGAAGGACACGCAAAAAGCAGGATTGAGGGTGTCAAGGAAACCTTGAGAAAACATAATATCACAACTGAAAGAGTTGCGGAGCTGGCCTACCATAGAAAGCTGCATCTCCCTTCGACGCTTAACGGCAACAGAGGATGAAAAAGTAAAAAGTAAATCAGTAATAACATGTTGTTTTTTTCTAGTTGACAACAGTTGATTACTCAAGTCGAAGAAGTCACTTTGAGCCACAGACTGGAAACAGGAAGTTACACACCATAGTGGATGTTCTCATTCCCGCCTTTTGGAGTTCCAAAGACCGGAAAACGGAGGAGATCTTTGCATGAACAGTGACGTCACACTTGTCTTGTCCAGGGCTCAAGAACCATTCACATCACTGGTCACTCTATCATTAACACCCCTCGCTGTAACTAACATCATTGGAGACTAACATCACTGGTCACTAACAAGACTGGTCACTATCACTTAACACAACTGGTCACTAACTCCACTGGTCACTCTATCACTTAACACCACTGGTCACTCTATCACTAACATCACTGGTCATTAACACCATTGGTCACTCTAACATTAACATCACAGGTCAGTAACACCACTCGGTGTCGTACCGAAAGAGCAGACTGCCATCACCCAAGGCCCAGGCAGGAAGTGTAACAGGCTAAAGTGAGCACGTGGCCCCCCTCATCCACTCCTCCACGCTGGTCACTCATACCACTGGTCACTCTATCACTAACACCGCTGGTCACTAACAGGACTGGTCACTCTATCATTCACACCACTGGTCACTCTTAAATTACTAACACCACTCGGTGTCGTAGCGAAAGAGCAGACTGCCATCATCCCAGGCCCATGTCGGAATGGTGACAAGCCGAAGTGAGCACGTGACCCCCTTCATCCACTCCTCCACGCTGGTCACTCATACCACAGGTCACTCTATCACTAACACCACTGGGCACTAACACCACTCGGTGTCGTAGCGGAAGAGCAGACTGCCGTCATCCCAGGCCCATGTCGGAATGGTGACAAGCCGAAGTGTGCACGTGACCCCCCTCATCCACTCCTCTACGCTGGCCCGCGTCTCCTCCAGCAACACCATCCTCTCCGTCACATGATCGCCCGAGCCCAGGAGCGTGACGCGGCATCTGATTGGTCGATGCAGCTCCTCGTGACCACTACACAGGTACACGCCCACCTTCATGTCCAGCGGCCGGTCTCCCCCCGTGGTGACGTAGTACCCGGTGAAGCCGAACTGACCCAGGAACCACGACTGGGGGGTGAAGGTCGTGCGGGTATGTCGCTGGATGCCCACCCGGCACAGGCGATGGGCGTAGAAGGATCGGGCGGCGGGCGGGGGTCCCGGGTACCCCCCGGAGGACGGGGATGCATCAGGGTGGGGGGTGGATTGCAGGTGTCCAGGGTGCCTGTAGGACGGGGGTGGGTCGGGGTGGGGGGCGGTTGGCCGGTGGCGGGCGGACATTGTGCTCTGGGGGACACGTCTGCAGAAAACATGGACAGAATATACTCTCACGTGCAACAAAATTGCACAAAATCAGCAACAAAAATAGCTAACCAAAAAAAAAAAAAGAAAAAAAAAGTGAAATAGAACAAAATAAAACTAGACTTAACAACAAAAACAAACAAACAAACAAAAAACCCCGCACAACAACAGCAACAGCAACAACAACAAACCCAAAAAGAAAACAAAAACCACTTTTAAATTAGATTTACGCACGCAGCTCTAAGCCTGTAACCACCTCCGTTTGGAACCTCAGAAGGCAATGGTTTGTTTTCTTCATTTTGATAAGTCCTGCCTAAGTAAAGAAGTAAGGCCTACCAGAGGCACCCGCCAACCATCCACTCTGTCTTTCGATCTACATGTATGTATCTTCCTGTCCGTCCAAGGCAGAATGTAGCCCTCCAACAACGACCCCCACTCTGTTCTATCAGCAACATTAGTATGCATTTTTTTTTTGTCCAGCCCGTCTGCTCTAGGATGGCATCTTGCCACCTTCTTCTAGAGACGGGCGGGAAGCACTTTTTTCTTCCCGAGCGAGAAGACCGAGAAGCTGACCTATTTCTCGCCGGGACCGGTACCGGTTCTGAGAAGTGCTCCTCGTCTCGTGACCTATTTCTCTTCTCGCGCCGTTGGACGAGCAGCTCGTTGAGCGAGAAGGCCGGCCGTGGCCTGGATCTAAACTGGGCTAGCCCTGTTGGGAAGGCGCAAACGGTGAAGAAAGGTAGGGAGACCTAGGCCTAGGCCACGGAGGTTAAACAGTAAGGTCCTTGGCCTTGGCCAGAACCCTCAGTCCCACTCGTCCCGCCTCGCCACCCTCTCCCCTCCGTTTCAGTTTCAGACACAGGACGGCACGGCGATGGGTGACACTGTCTGCGTGTGACGCTTTTTCTGTCGAAACCTCTCACTCTTGTTACTCGTTGTGTCAAGCCAACGAGCGGTATCACTTCTCGGTACCGGCCAGTAGTTTAGTGCCCGGGAAGTGACGGGAAGGGAATTTCTCGCGAGAAATTTCTCCATTTTTTTGTCCAATTTTCTGTCTTTCCCTCTGCTGATGTCGCCAGCCAATTTCCAATTTAGTCGGAGTATAATTCTTGGGAACGACAGGCAAGTTTGATGGAAAGAGAGGCAGAGGTAAGCAAAGGGGAAAAATACTGGACAAGTTGACAACATGGTTGGGAACAGCAAGAACAGACACCATTGCTGCAACGCAAGACAGAGTGAAGTGGAGGTGAGGTCCATGATCGCCCACGCCAGTCGGCAAGGCACCGGATGATGATGATGATGATGATGATGATGATGACGATGATGATGATGACGATGACGATGATGATGATGATGATGATGATGACGATGACGATGATGATGATGATGATGATGATGATGATGATGATGATGATGATGATGATGATGATGATAACTCAAGGGACATCTCTCTGTCCTGTTTTATCTTGCTTTATCTTTTGCTTTATTAAGTGTTTTGCGGCACTTGCAACACAATAAGGTCAAAATATAAGCGCCGAAGAGTAGAGGTGTTACAAGAGAGTAATAAATTAACACAAAAGAAGGAGGGGAGATAAAGACGATATACGTTTGAACGGAAAGAAGAAGCAAACCACACCCCAGCATCCACCAAACACCCACGCTGTTTCCTTTGTTGTGCAGGTTATTAATTGGTCGTGTATTCTTGTGCCCAGCCGATTTTAAGGACAAGCGGGCTAACCCACATTTCGGGGGTTTCCAGAAATCTTGACCTGCACCAAAAGTGGGCATTGCCCTACCTATAGGGAAAGTTTGGTTTCAGTGGTTTGTATATTTGTTTGGTTATAGAGAAAACTCTCCATGTCTTTTAAAGAAACTGAACAAGGAGCAAAAACTTTACCTTCGATTTTTTTTCAAAATAGCGTTTTTCAGGATAGCCCCGTTGTGCTTAACCCTATCCGTACTCCCTGGGGGTCATTTTGTACTCCCGGGGTTGTACTCTTAATATTTTAGAATACCTCTAGAGCGAAGATCTCTTTGAAACTTTTAGTATTTCTAAATAAAACCCCTAATTTTGACAGACTGCTATGCAAAGTGGTGGCACAGAGTTCCCGACGTTGTAGTTATGGAAACCATAGTAAAACACGACGTACGGAAAGGGTTAAAATCGACCAATTCAATGTTTACGCTCACCCAGAGAATCAATACGTTCACCCACACTTCACTCACCCGCCGGCCCGTGCATGCACCGTGCGGT